CCAGAACAACCCAGGAGGATTTATTGGAAGACACGTCACATGGGGACGGGCTCCCCCAAAGCAAGCACCGCAGACGTCATGATAACTTAAAAAGAAACGCTCTCCACGCCGAACTCACGCGGCTGCCGGCCTCTCCGCAGTGGGGCCAGTGGCCCCAGGCCCGGGACAGGCCCGCGGCCGCCTCACTTCATGTACTTGTTCTGCTGGTCGGCCAGGATCTTGGCCGAGGACTTGGCGTCGTAGAAGAGCTCGCTGATCTCCTCCACGTGCTCCTTCTCGATGCCGTCCTTGCCGTTGATCTTGGCCAGCAGGTTGGCCGGGGTCAGCAGCTGCACCGCATACCTGAGCGTGGTCTTGGTGCCGATCTCACCCAGGTGGCTGAGCGCCTCCTCGCTGAGGCTGATGGCCTCCGTCTGCGCGCGGATCTTGATGATCTGCTTCATCTCCTGCGGCGTGTACAGCATGGTCCGGATGATCATCACTCAGTCCAGCAGTTACAGTGGGATGCCGTGAGGGGAGGTGACGTCCTCCGTGCCTCTGATGACGCAGTTGCCACGATTGGATGCGAAGATGACGATGGGGGCGATGGAAGATTCCAGGGCCCGGTGCAGGTAGGTGAAGCACTCGATGTCCAGCATGTGGACCTTGTCGATGAACAGCGCGCCCAGAACCAGCTCGGCGACGCCCTGGTCGATGTACTTGTTCACCACCTTGTTGATCTCCCCGCGGAGTTTGTCTGTGATTTCTGTCTTCTTTGGCTTCATTAACTGGCCCATCATGGACAGGATGTCTTCCCCCCTGGGGCCGCGCGTTGGCCACGTCCAAGTCGTGCAAGGTGACGTCCTGGATGATCTCTTTCTTTTTGTGCACATCCCCCTTTGGCAGAGGGACACACTCTTCGGCTTCCAGGTCAAACTCCGTGGCGTAGGTATCACACCTGCCCTGCCTCTTCACGGCCCGCTGTTGGCCTCGATATAAATCACGTCTCCGGCCTGCACTCGCTCTTTCTGCAAACTCTCGAAAATGCTGGGGTCCAGCTTCAGCTGCTTGGTGCCTTTGGCGGTTTTGAGTCCTATGATCACGTGGCTGATGGTTTTGCCATAACCCCCCATGGGGCTCTCGGTCTCGCACGGCGTGAGTTCGGTGACTTCACCTTCGTAGACTTCCTTGGTCTCTTTTATCCGCAGCCCAGTGGTCCTGCGGAAGTTCTCCATCAGCACCTCCGTCTTCTTGATCTCTGTTGAGTAAACTTCGCTGCCCACCATGGGGCAGAAGGGAACCTTACTGCCCAGCTCCTGAGCAATGGCCAGCGCGAGGGCTGTCTTGCCAGTTCTGGGAGGCCCAGCCAACAAGATGGCTCTTCCGGCCATTTTCTTGCTTTTGATTAATTCTACTATGACGCCACACGCCTCTCGTGTGTTCTCCTGCCCCACGAGCCCCGACGCCGCCTGCTTGGCCAGGCCACTCTCATCCAGCCCCAGCCCCTTCACGTGGCTGTGGGAGGCGATGCGCTGCGTCTTCATGGTGCTCCTCACCTCCTCAATCTTCATCTTCCAGATGCCTCGAAGCCCCACACGAGCTTGGAAAACCGGCCCAGACTACCGTGTGCCTAGATGTTATTCTTATATGTGCATTTGTGTGTTGATTAGTTAATACCAATTTGATGGTGAGTACAAATGGATCCCGTTCTGCTGCTCTTGTGGTGCCCCACTTTGGATAATGGGCTT